GCTACTGAAAGATGGCAAGCAGTTCAGAAATGAAGTTTGCAATTGCAAAGCTCAACAATACCAACAAAAATAGCCAATACTCAGATACCCAACTCTCAGAAATTAGAGGTTTTTTTTAATAGCCTTCAAGTATTTTTGAATGGGGATGAGTGCAGGGACAATGCTATCTGCTGGAGTGTGCCTAGTCAAAATGTATTGTTTGTAGCTGGGCTGTAGCCATCCTGAGCTTTGTTTATGTTATCTGGGTGCGTTAGGTTTCTTCTAAGCTCTGGACATTGCTTGCTTCTGCATGCTACTGGGGAGTGTAGGTAAAGTTAGAGCATACAATTTATTGGGCATGCATATTTATTCTGCCCTGGCCAATTACTGAGCAGTCAAATGACCTACACTGGACACAATCTGTCTACATCCAGGATCAGACATATGTTCCTAGTCACAATTAACCACTGGATGTTTGGATACATGCGGATTGTAGTGGGCAGATATGGCCTAATAGCAGCATCTGGCAGCACACCCTGAAGGGCCCCTTCACACATACAGAAGTTTATGCTAGCAATATGGGCAGTGGAAGAGGACAAATATTTGAAGAGAAAGGCCCTTGCTTCTATAGTTTTTCCTGGTGAGGATTTGTGCTTAGTAGGATCCAATTCTTCTTACCCAGGCTTTGCCTGGAAAGGATATGAGTCCAGAGGTCCTTGCTTTCCAGGTCTGTGGCTTAGGTAGGGTGTCACTCAAATGAGGTCTTTGTACGAGGAGTATTTGCATCTCTTAGCCTGGAAGCTGAAACTGGGGAAGAGTTCTGTTCAGATAATTGCTTGTCTGCGCTTAAAGGTGCACAACTGGCCTGTGACAGACTCCTAACCACTTTGGCAGGGGCTATGTGACCACAGAGATATGTGGCATATGGCATAACTTGTGGCAGAGGCACAAAGAGTTCTATATTAGCATGTTCCAGAGGCAAAATTTACTAGAAGATACTGCTAAGCTGAGGGATTTTTTATACTGTTTTTTGATATCTTGAACCCCTAACCCTCGCACCATAGACATTTAAGTCAATAAATTTTGCAAAAGAAGTTTGGAGTCCTTGAAGTCTGTCTGATTGTGCTGCTGGAGGATCAGTGAGTGTCTGGGTGCAGCTATAGACAGGGTCAGTAAGAATGCAGTAAGATCAGTTAGAATGCAGGAAAGTCAATTAAAATCTAGGAGCTTCAAAGGGGCTAATTGCTACAGTACAAAAAGTAAAAGAACATCGCAATACTATATGCCATTTTTAATATAAGGGCCAAGTCCACTCTAATGCACTTCCATAGATCCCACATTATGAGTCAGAATCTTCTTGTTACGCAAAATCAGATCTAAGGGTTAAAATTGATACTAATAGACAGCTCCAATTACAGTGGTACCTCGGTTCAAGAACGCTTCTGTTCACGAACAATTCGCGAGCATAAGTTTTGCTTCCATTCGCGAACTCCGCATCGGGTGAGGAACACAACCACAGCCATCTTTCCTGCTCTAACACATGGCCGTGGCTTCCTTCGGTTTCGATTCGGTTCGCAACCAGAATCGTGGAATGAATTAAGTTTGTGAACGGAGGTGCCATTGGTGCACATTGGGTGCACCATTAGTGTGTTAGAGGATATAGAGAAGGAGATATAAAAGTGTAAAATGTACAAGTGCATTGCAAGTGCATTTCACACTTTTATATCTCCTTGTCTAAATAGGTTATCGTACAAGTGATGCGTCCAATGTGCTTTTTTCTGTTTTTCTGTGCCATTTTCAAGCCTGTCTAAAAATGACTTAAGAAATGAATGGCAGTGTACTATTATAACAATGTTACCAAATTAATATCATTGTCCTGCTTGTCCAGGTCTGGAAAGTGCTTGCAGGCCCTGCATACCTCCTACTTTGCAGCTCATTGTCCTTATCTATACAGACATTAACCCATTAGTGTTAAATCTTCATGGCTGAGCAATAATGGAAAATTTCTTGGACTGTTGTACAGAATTTCAACAGCAATTCTGCTCTGATTGAGGCCACTTTACATTTACAGTGTGTATTTTCTCTAGAAGCACAATAACATCCATTTGTTTATAGCAGGCAAATGCAGTTTTCCATTTTCTGGGCTTGCTTCCACAAATTACAAAATAAAAAAAAAAGCAAAACTGCAGTTTGGAAATAATAAGCAATATATACACTAACCATGCTCATACAAACATTTTAAAATAATTATGACTGTAAAGCTGCAGTGCTTTGTTTCCATGGCAACCTTTAGGCTAAAGGGCATTTGAATTCTTTCATATATACGCTTTTGTTTATACCTATCAAAGCACAATACAGTAGGATGTGTGAATGATTAGTGTTACTATGGCAACCACATAGATGGGAAAAGGCTGCAGATGGGGTGTTGATGTGCATAGTTCCCACAGCTTATTGTATAAAGCATATGCTTGTCAGCTTGTAGGAAGCTCATTTTACCACGAATAATGCTCAGCGAGTTTTTATATCCATGCATGGTTTAATGTTGCAACATTTCCTGCAAACAATACTGCATTTGTGAATTTGCATTTGCCACTGACTCTATTTAGATTTTTTATTGGGGGTCACAAAATGTAAATGGTATAAAAGGCAATAATGTACCATTATTAAGAATTATTTTGTATACTGATACTTGTTCTTAATAAATGCAATGATAGTATTCATTGTATGAATTCAATGTTTATGTCATGTATCTGTAATAATAATTTTCTCTGCAATTATATGCACACTGTCCAACAAAAGTGGCAGGGGCTAAGACAAATTACTTGTAAAATCTCTGTCCAATCTTCTTTAGATTTACCACGTATGTAATATGGACTAAGGGCTCGTTCACACATACTCATTTTCGTACCCTTTTTTTCATGCGTTCCAGCGTGTTTTTTTCTTCTTTTTTTTAAAAAAATGGGGTTTGCTTTGATTTAAGTACTTTTTAAAAAAAAGCTCCAGAGCAGAACGCAATGGCATTGCTTGCAACATAACCACTGAACTATCTTCCAACCTAACCACTGAACTATCACCTTCTCAAACAATTCGTCCCCACACAGCTACCTCCTCATGTATTACTTGCCCCTCCCTTTTAGACTGTAAGCCCTCAGGGGCAGGGCCCTCCTTACCATCTTGTCTTGAATTGTATTGTGATTGTAATGCCTTCCTGAAATTGTAAAGCGCTGCGCAAACTGTTGGCGCTATAAAAATCCTGTATAATAATAAAGGCGTGAACTAGCCTCATTTAAAACCATTGGAAATACTGTGTATGCATATTTGCTGCAAATAAAAAAATGCACCAGTCTGGAGATGGTGTGAACAAGCCTGGGTTCACATGGATATATTTTTTTCATTCAGCCTACAATGGATAAACAAAACAAATTTGATAGATTCCTCCATCCATGCTAACAGTATGGATGGGTAAATCCCCCAGTTTGACAGCAGCGCTTGCCGATGTCAGACTGGTAGATTTACCCATCCACACTGGATGGGTGGATGGAGCTGATTGGCTGCCAGAACTGTTTGCCGACAAATTTCCAACCTGTCCCTTTGAAAAAAGTCAATCTATTCAATCATTTTCTAGGTATTTGCACAAAACAAGAGGCACCGTGGCTTCAGCTGCTTAGAAGTCAAGAGTCGCAAGTCTATGAGTCTATGAGGCATGGGAACAGTGGAGAATCTCTTGTCATCTACTAGATTGTAAGCTCTCATGAGCAGGACCCTCCTAACCCTACTGTACTGAAATTGTATTGTAACCATACTGTCTCCCTCCATTTTGTAAAGCAGTGCACAAACTGTTGGTGCTATATACATCCTGTATAATAATAATAATAATAATAATAATAATAATAATCTCACAGGTAAGTAACCACTGACACCAATGATCTTGTTAGCTATCTGAAAGGCGGTATTCTTTTTCCGACTGACCACCACTGTATGGGGACACTTTCCAAATGCAACAACCCTTTTGTTGATGCATCATGTGCAAACTTCCAAAATTCCATGTACCTTTTGTCGATTGATACAATAAAGGCCTTCAACAGAGTGAATTGGCTCATTTTACACCACACCTTGATCCAATTAAGTATGGGCCCAGACATGATCAAAAATATAATGGGTCTATATTCTTCACCATTGGCAGGGGTTTGCATCAAAGGATATTTGTCGCCCAGGTTCCCCATCAAGAATGGTACCTGTTAAGGGTGTCCCCTTATGTCCTCTTATACAGTATATGTGCCTATGATGGAGCATTTGGAAGTAGCAAATGTAAATAGTGCTCCTCCTCCAAACTCTTCACCCTTTTCTGAATAACCCCGTTAGGATTGGCTATTGATAGTCTGAGTGGTCTGGTAAGCAATAGTGTGGGAAAGGGTGCAAAAGCTGTAGCAGCGGTCACAAATATGCCCCAAAGAAGCTTGTGTACTTCTGTGGGCGTAGGGCGTTTTACAGCGTGTTCCTACAAGCTGTAAAACGCCCAGGTGGGAACCATGCCCATAGGCAATTATTGGTTTTCACATGTTGAGCGTTTTACAGCGCGTAGAAACGTGCTGTAAAATGCCCAGGTGTGAACCAGGCCTTAGATATATAGGCCCAAACATGGGCAACCAGCCCAGACTGGCAGGGGAAAGGGGTCTAACACCCTACTACAAGTATCTAGTACCTTTTAGTAAATATCAGCCCATAAATCAGAAAGCTTTTTTTATTTCAACAATCCAGTTACTTCTGATTTCCAAAATGCACAGTATCCAAACTTTAGATCAAACAAACCTATTAATAGCTGAATAAACATTCTTTCACAAGGAATAACGTTCAACAACAATGTGCTGTGCCATCAAACTGGAGAGTTTAAAAAAATAAGACAGTAAAAAATATAAACGTTAATAATTTACAGGAATTCACAGGAGGGCTCATTGGAGAAAAAAAGTTACGTAATATATAATCGGTTAAAGCAAACTAAGCATTTACAGAAGGGATGAAATGTTGCACTAGAGGAGATAAAATATGCTACACGCTGTTTATATAGGACAGCTTCCAATTCCAGGCTGTCTCATTACACCCACTCCTCCGGCAGCCAATCCCGCAGCTCTCAATTCCTTGTTCTGTAAGCAACTGCTGGCTGCGTGAGAACAATAACGAGGAAATCACTCACCTCTGACAGTCTCAGTCTGGGAAAGGCACTATTGCATACTAACCAGGAGTCCTAGGAAGAGAAAAGCAGGACAATGAGGGATGCTTATGATGTGATTGTCATTGGTGGAGGCATTTCAGGTCTGTTATTGCAAAATATGTGCTTTGTGAGAGACAGTGTGTAATGGAAATGAAATTAATTTCAAATGATGGAATTAGTGAAATAGCATGCAAAAAAATAAGTATTTCTGCACACCCACTATGAATATGTGAATATGTGCATGGTAGAATGTTTCGATGAAGCTTAACACTGGTTTTATTGTGTGTTTGGGAAAGGTGGGTGTGCCTGGTCCTGAAGAATACAAAGACCATTTCCATTTATGTACATTTTAGGTATTCACGTTACTTTTTTTTACTGGGGATAGAAGGAGCACGGCATTGCTTTTTATCCAATGGTAATTATAGAGAACACAGAAAGTTCCTAAGTCTGGGAGGTCAGGATTCCTAATCTGGCCCCTTAGCTTGATCCTTTATTTGCAAGCTGTGAATTGATGGCATTCTTTACAGGATAAAGCAGGATTTCTTTCTTGCTTAAAATCATTTTTCTGCTATTTGAAACTCTAAAAGGCTTATTAGGATAGACGAATGTGAAAATGTATACTGTTTTCTACTTTTAGGAAATTAAAAAAGAAATTTAACTAGCGTGTGATCTGAAAGGTATCTCTTTTATTTAGATCACTTGGAGAAGTATCTAAAACAAGATCTCAGCTCAATTGAGTGGATGGAACAATACACACATAATCATAAAGCCCACTGAAAAGAGCTCGTACAACATGAGCACTATAAATGTGGTCCTAGAAAGTGTCAATGTTAGAAATTTATGCAAAGTATAATTGTAGCTAAGCCCCCGTTGTAGAATCTTACTAACGCAGTAATAGTTTAACAAGAACAAAGGCCCACAAGATATTCAAAACTGTAAGTAATATCATCAAAAGAAAAAACTATAAAAGGTATAAGCAGGTTGGTATATAAAGTAAAACACCCGTAAATCATGTTGAAATGAATCTGCTTCCAGTTTATATGTGCCTGAAGGTAAACAAGTTGCCAAAAACAAATACTGACAGAACACAGAAGTTGGGTTTCTGTGCACAGTTTTAAATATCATTGTGGCTTGTTTAAAGGAATATAAATACTTATGAGTACTGCAAACAGTCAAAGAAAAACACATTCTCAGAAACAATCATTGACTCCACATAGCTTAGTCAAATGAAGAACTGAGGCTATCATTCAAAGCAATCCAATCAAAGCAATGTTGTATTACAGCTTGGGGTGGGTTACCCATTTTATCTCATCTTCTGAAAATGTGCTTTTTACTTGGACAATACACATAGGGGTCTATTTATAAACAATCTTGCCCTGCAAATCATTCTTTGCATATGGTTGCAAAAAGTTATGTTGTTAGGATTTTTATCAGGTCGAATGGAATATTTGGAAAATGCTGCATTATTGCCACTAGATGGAGCTGAGGAGCATAGGAAAGATGTATTTGTTAACTATGCTTCTCAGCTCCACCTTGTGGCCAGCTTAAGTTTAATCACACTGAACTAAAGCGGTGACAAATAGATGCAACAATTTCTTTACACCGGCATTATATATGATATCCATTAAAGCAGAACTCCAGGCAAATGAAACCTTACCCCTGCACTGCAAGGGTTAAGTGCTCTTTTTGTCTAGGGAGATAAAATAACAAAGCTCTACTCACCTTAACTGCAATCCTGGCTTACTCTTAGACCGCTCCCTTCAGCCTCGATCCCCCTCTGCTCCCTCTGACCTTAGACCTTCTGCAGTCGTCTAAGGTCCTGTGAGTCATTACGTTCTATACAGTGTACAGGACGTGAGGACGCTGAGGGTCATTCCATTGCTGGAGCGGAGGAGGAGGCAGGCTGGAGGGAGCAGTGTAAGAGCCAGCAAAGACGGAGGTTTAGCTACAGGTATACTTTGCTTATATTTCTGACATTTGATCAGATTACCCCTTTCTGGGTCCCCATTTATAGTGCTCATGTTGTACAAGCTTTTTCATGTGCTTTATGACTACTGGTGGATTTATCTGCCCCCTCTCTTTTTTAGGGATACAATCTTGTTTTAGATATTTCTCCAAATGAGCTAAATAAACGAGGTTTTGATAACATTTTTCCGATCACACTTAAGTTAAATTTTTAATTTCCTGTGGTGTATATTGTCACAAAAAAAAGAGTGGTGGTCATAAATGAAATATTTTTCTGTTTCAACCATATAGGTGGATACCTGACCCTATTCCTAATTAATGTGAAACATAGCCTGAGCCAAATAAGACAATAGAACAGTGGTTATTAACACGGGGTATAAGTACTCACAAAGTAACTCACATAAGTAAGCACATTTAGTGGTAGTTGAAAATATTTTTGTAATGGTGGAAAAAGGCTGTGGCAGTGGGCAGTCAGGGACTAAATGTATGCAGGAGGTCTGCAGAGTAATCCTGCAGCTGCATTTTTCAACACTAAAGGGGCCCATACACCTTGCGATCAATGTTCGATTTCCCAGACGAAATGTTTTTTTTCGTATAATAATCGTACGATAGATGGGAAGTCAAGGATCACAATTACTGAATTTCGTCTATCGCGCTAGACTAGAAAACTTTTTTCCGAATCGTACGAAAATCGATGGATTAGTGGCGTTTTTGTATTAAATAAATCGCAACGTGAACACTGCACATGCGCAAACGAAAATCTGTTCTGTCGATCAACAAAATTTGGTCAGTTAGTATTGCTCACAAACGATTATCGCAATCTGCATTGGTCTGTGCATGATGGGCTATTTGAGCAGAAATTGAACAAAGGTGCATTGGCGGGACAAAAGAAAATGAACGATAATTGTAAGGTGTATATCCACCTTAATTCTATAGTTCTGACTGCCAACACTCAGTTGGTCCCCAACTCAGTGATGTGCCCTTTGATTCTCTTAAGTGCAAGGAGTATCACAGATTGCACCCCAAAGACCCCAAGATAACACTGGACACACCACCGCATCATGGCGTATCCCAAAAAGCTTCCCCCTTCATCCCGCTGAGACTGAAATAGTGGCATTTAAAGGAGAACTATGGGGTAAGTGTTTTTCCCCATAGTTCTCCTAAGGGTCACGGGAGGACATATACTAGCGTCCTCCCGTAACCCAAAGCTCAGTATATCACGAGCTCAAGCCTCCGCCGCATCCAGGACGGATCCCAACATTACTGTCGAGATCCACCCAGCTGCGTGAGTGACAGCTGGCTCTGCCTATCTAGAGGCAGAGCCAGCTGTACCCGCCCCCTCCCCCGTTCGTTCCGCCAGTCAGCGCTGGAAGATCAGAGCGGGGAGGGGGGATCCCTGCAGGGAGCCATGACTGACAGTCAAGCTGCCATACATTACATTTTGTTTTTGTGTTTAGGTAACACTTTCACTGTATTCAAATCACCTATGTAAGTATTTAGTGGTAGGGACATAAATGGCCCAGGGAGGTAGTTGGCTCCCTACCTTTTCTAGCCTGACATGATTTTATTTTAATACTTATGTGCTGCCATAAGATACTGTATACCTAAATAGGTAAATAAACATTTGAAATGGGCCATAACAATTTTGCTTTAATTATAAATTAGCAAGAACTGTTGTGCAAGATCATGACAATAACAATGTAAAACTAATTTTAGGTTAGGGTTAGACTTAGGTGAAGTTTAGTAGTGTGTTTAGTGGTATGGTTAGCTTAAAGTAGAATTTTTCTCTAGTGTTGGATAGCGTAAGTGACCCCTGTCACTTTTTTTGCCATCTGTGTGCTATTGGGGAGATTCCCCTTCACTTTCTGCCCAATAGCCACAAAAGGAATTGAGAGGAAATCCTTCCAAAGAGAGGGAAATCTCTGGGAGTCAGCATTGTCACCAGAACTAGTGTGAACATTTCCCCTCTATTCCTGTTCCGATGCCAAAATTCTGAATTTTTCTTTCACTTCATGAGCAAAATAGAGAGGGTGAATTTCCCTAATGGGGACACAGGCTGCAATACAAACCTGACAGGTCTAAATCCTTTCCACTCCATCCAAAACTAAAAAAAAAAAAAAATGGAACACGTTCGCTAAATATTAAAGTTCACTTTTCAGAATTAATATTAAAAACAAACAGCTAGTCAAACAAACAAATACATATACAATATTATGGGACCCAGTTTTATACTGGAAATGACCAAAATCATCAATAACAATACAGTAAACTTCCAGTTATCCGGCACCCATGGGGATTGGTAGATGCTGGGTAACTGTAGTTTTTGGTTGCATGAGAACAGCCGACAGGTGAATGTAAACAGCATGCAGTGGGCAGGAGTAATAGACAGTCTGCTATTGTTTTTAGTGTGCACATGTCTATCAAGCAACTGGGGAAAAAATGGAGGACATATTATATTATATATTATATGTCCTCGATTTTTTCCCCCAGTTGCTTGAGAGTGCTGGTTGCTGAGAGTGCCAGTTCCTTAAATGCAGGATAATAGGGAGTTTACTATAAATCCAAAGAATCTCTCCTAATGCACTCCTTACAAGTACCAGTTCCCATATGTACAGACAGAAAAAATCTGCTAACCTATGAAGAATAAAGTATACTTATATTCAGTTAGTTTGTGAATCTATGTAACACTCTTCATGGAAAAATTTTGCAGTATGTATAGAGTCAGGAATGTGATTCCACTGTAAACACAGATATAAATCCTAAATACTTGCTGTAAAATTCCAGATATTGTATCTTAGCAATTCTTCAAACTATGGTACCTGGTAGTGGTTTGTTTTGAGTGGGCACACAGCCATTTTTTTTTTCGATATACAGTACACATAGAGATTGTCTAAACTCACATTTTTGTGCATAATTTCTATCTTGTAATATAACATTTAAAAAATATATTTTTTATTTTTTAGTTAGGATAATGTCAAATATTGCAAATCAGTAAACTATTACTCTCAGTTCCTTTTCACATATTTACCTTTATATTCTTAGCTGCTATGTTACATAAACCTTGTTGTTTACAGGGCTTAGTAGCTTGAACTATAACTTACACACATTACGCACATAATGCAGGGCAAATATCTGT